TTTGATATTTTACGATTGAAATATAAAGATTTTTAATAGTTTTTTACGAATATTTTTTAAGAAATCTTATTTGTTAAATGTTTTATTCAAAAAACAAACTAGAGGGTTAACAAAAGGAGTTACTAATTCTTAAGATAGACCATATTTTACCCACGAAAAAGACTACCTCGTATTAATTTTGTCACTATGAGTTCTTTCTTCATCTTGAATTTTTTTGTTAGACACGAAAAACATTTTGTTAGTCAAAAACATGAATTTGAAATTTCAAGAAAAAGAGTATTATTTTAATTATAAATAAGTTAGAAAAATAAATTTTAAATTTCACAGATTATTTTAGAAGCTGATTTTAAAACTTTAGACTATTATTTTATTTATTTTAGAAGTTGATTTTGTAAAGTTTTTAATCAAAAATATGAATTTTAGTTTTCACTCAATTGCATAAAATTTCATGTAGGTTCTAATTTCTTCCATAATAGTCCCTCTGTGTTTGGATTTAATCTTCTCATTTGACTTCTTTTGTTCAACTTTGTATACTTTAACCTAGATACAAATATTGTCTTTCGATAGAAATGTATTACCAATAACTTCTTTTTGAAACTAAGGAATCTTTTTATGTTTGATAGCTCATGTTTTGGAGATAAAAATATGCATTTTTATTTTTGTACTTTTACCATGTTTTATTCCTATTCTCGTACGGAGTAGTTTTTTGGCAGAAGGATGCGGGAACTGCTTTTAATAAAATGATGGAACAATAATGATTTGTGCTTGATACACCTTGTCGTAAAATGAAGAATGTCGGAATTTTATAATTGAAGGTTTCAAAAAGAAGATAAAGTGGATTTTCTTAAATAAAAGGGTCTAAAAGGGTATTGATTCCCGTATGTATGTGAATGTGTGTCATAAATTGTTCTATAGAATCTATGTTGTGGTACCACTCACCGGTTTCGCTGAGCGCGCAGTTGTCTTTGTTGTGTGACTGCGCATAGGTAATAAGCTGTGGCATCCATCCGGAAGATGCTGAGGCGGGAGAGTTGGCAAAAGGATGCAGGAACTGTTTTTTATAATTCAAAGTATTTGGAGACTTGAACCCATATATGTAAATATGTTGAATCTTAATTAGCTTCCGAAACGATTAAATTAAATTACTCCAAAAATTATTTTATCATGTTTGAGGAGACTATGTTTTGATTCATTTTAAGTTACTGATAGTATTACTTTTAAAAGATTATAGAATGTTACTTTACCAAATTGCTATCGCTCTGGTCCGCTAACCCGCGTGAACCAGGTTATGCGAATCGGGGTGTTACAGATCTAGAGGTGGAGTGTTTTGGAATAGGAATATTTCTTCATGAAAACTGATGTCTCTGAAATCTTTAATCATTTTTTGGACAGATTATAAATCTTGTAGGCTTTCTTTCCATAGGGATAACCTAGGAAAACACATTCAGATGCCTTGTCCTGAAACTTAAGCCTTCCTTGTTTGTGTGCGGAAACATAGCATAAACAGCCAAACACTTTCAAATGTTCATAATTTGGAACTTTGTTGAAAAGGACTTCATAAAAAGACTTTCCTTGTAAAAGTTTGGTGGGAAACATGTTGATGTGGTAGGCTGTAGTAAGGACACAATCACCGCTGAATCTGTGAGGAATATTAGATTGAACGGAAAGGACTCTTGAGGTTTCAAGGAGGTGTTTGTGTTTTCTCTCAACAACTCCCTATAACTCAAACCTACGTATCTTTACGTTCAATTATATACGAGCAGTCCATTCTGTTTAGGGGTATCTATGACACTTATTTGGTGAATGATACCCTTTGGAGAAGAAGAATTGTGAAGTGGCATTACTTTTTCCTAACTCTAAGGCATTGTCAGACCTGACAGTTTTGATTGAAATGCCAAACTAGGTTTGGATCATTGAAACAAAGGTTTGAATGATGTATGGGGCATTGCGTTTTCCAGGAAGGAGATATGTTCATTTGGCCTTAGAGAAATCATCTACAATGGTAAGGAAGTACTGAAAACCATTGTATGTTTTGGTATGATAAGGATCCCACCGATCTAGATGACTGAGTTCAAAAATGTGACTGGAGGCGGAAATGATGTGTGGCAAAGGTAATCGATGTTGTCTAGCTCTATGAAAAACATCCCAAGTATTCAAAGAATCCACACATGTATTATCAAACGAACATATATCCTTGAGTTTATAACCAGGTGACCAAGTCTCATTTGTCAAACAGAAATACTAGTGTTTTTACAAGCTTTATTACACAAATTGGAATGGAAATTGTCTGTGAAATGAGTGACACAATTTACACGTTTATTCTAAAAAACTTCAGTGAGATAGAGTCCATCCGTCATTCTACTAAATTCCACTTGCTTCCTCTTGGAAGGGTCTTGTAATACACATGTATCTTCTATGAAACATGCTGTTGCCCCAGGTTGTTTGCACAATTTTCGCACAAATAACAAATTGTATTTAAATTCAGGAACAAAAAGTACATTTGCTAGGGTTATGTTTGAGGGTAGAGAGATAGTTCCATTGTGAGAGACAGTGATGTGTTGATTGTTGGGTAAAGTTATCTGGTGTGGAGAAGATAAAGGTATGAGATTAGTGATAAGTTTGAGATTGGCACACATGTGATCAGTGGCTCTAGTGTCTAAAATCCAAACTAAATCTTCAATATTATGCACACTATGACACGTATGATTCACCAAGAAACTAGAGGAAGTAAAAATAATACCAACCATATGAGCATTAAAAGCTTGGGAATTGTTGCTGGCAGCATATGAAGAATCTTTGTTCTTATTGAAGGATGTCAGGAACTTCATGAAGTGATTGCACAGTTCTGAATTTAAGCTCTCATCAGCTTTGGAGTCCGTTGCCTCAAATCCTTCTCCATTGATCATTTTTGCCGCCATTCTTTTGTTCTTTGTGAACTTAAAATCCTTTAGGAAACCTATCAGCCTGTAGGATTTGCTTGAGGTATGTCCTTTCTTCTTGCAATGATCACAAACAATTTGTTTGAAATCCATCTTCCCTTTATAAGAAGGATTCACATTCACATATAGAGAAGCGTGTTCAGGCATAAATTGAGATGTGGCCTGGACTTCCTTCGGTTTTTCTTCATGGGTGATCATGTCATAAGCAATAACAACTAAAGGCAATGGCCTCACGAGAAATTGTTTCCTAAACTGTATTAGCTTCTGCTCTTATTCATACTTCAGGATTTCTTGAGCTACACCACATGAACATCTAGGCAAATTTGACACCATTGCCAATTCATCCCAACACTTCTTCAACTTGGTGTAGTAACCTGCGACATCTGAGTTTCCTTGAGAGATGGAACATATGTCCTTCTGCAATGGATACAGTCATGTACCATTAGATTGGCCAAAATGATCATCCAATTCCTTCCATAACACAACCGCAGAGTTAGAATACAGAATGCTATCTTCAATATCTCTGCTCAATGAATTCATAATCCAAGAAGTGATCATATCATTGCATCTTTGCCACTGAACGATTTGTGAGGAAGTTGAAGGTGATGAGATAGGCTTTTCAATGTTACCTTTAACAAATTCTAGTTTGTTCTTCGCAAATAGGGTTATCATCATGGATTTTACCAAGAACCGAAGCCTTCACCTTCAAACTTCGTAGGAATCAGATTCAAACCAAGATGATATGAAGGATGGAGATACAAAGGATCGATTGTAGATGAAGCTGAATTGTTCGATGTCATTCATTGAAGACGAGTGAAGATCACTGCAGTAGGAATGAACTGATTTGCGAATGTAAACGTGATCTGATACCATGTTCAATGAAATTATCAATTGCGAGATAATAAAGAGATGAAGAACATGAGAACAGGAAAGAATGCCTTCATTACTGATTTTCACCTCCAAACCAGAGGAGTTTACAAGTATTGGTAACAAACTGATAACAAACTAAATAACAAACTAACTAACAAGCTAAGCTATTCCAACAAAAGTTCTATCAATGAAGGTAGACTACTTCAATTATCATCTTTTTAACCTTTTTTTGAATGATGCATTTGAGTAATTGATTGGGGTGTAAATAGAGTTACTAATCTAGTTTTGTACACTTGCACTAGGTATGAGACATTTGAGCTTACAAAAATAGTGATGTTTGTGATGCAAACTCAAGCAAAAGTCAAACATAAATAGTAGTGGCAATGGAAGCTTCTTTAGGAGATGTTCAAATTGAGACTATGACATTAATATATGAGCTATCGAAGCTCATCGCGTTTAGTAGAACAACTCTTATAGGTTGGCGAGAATGGCATGGTCGAAAATACTCCTTGCTGCCTTCCACTATAATGCCAAGGAGAACCTTTTCGATGTGCTTTTATTTTTTCCAGAATGCTTTTCTCCAAGAAGAAGACGTTTTTGAAGGAAGGTGTGAGTGTATTCCATGTTATGTCAAGAATTTAAAGGGAAAATAAATCAATTCATGCGGCACACCAAACGTAATCTTTAAGTATATATTTGGCACGAGACGCCAAAGACAGCTACGAAAGAGTAGGTTACATAAGTCATTGTGTTGCACCAAGTCATAAGATGTTAATTTTATACACTCATTTCTGCGAATTTGATGTTGTGGTTGATTTTCTTTGTACTACTGCATCATGAGTTGATGCACTTTGTACTACTGCATCATTTAAGATGTTTAGGTATTATAGTGCAACTTCATATTAGATAGTATTTTTGCAAACAATAACCGAAAAATTTTTTAAACAACTTTACATTTGAAATACTATGTGAACTCTATATGCACGCTACAATATGAAGTACATTTTAAGACCTAAAAAGGCTAAGAGGCTATTTAGCAACTTCTGAATAGGTAAGTGCTGAACCAGTAAGAGGTCTGAACCATTAAGAGCTAGTATATTGCTTAACTATTCAGAGGCAAATGTCTGATCAATTCAGATAAGAGGTCTTAACCATTCAGACTCTGTATAATACTTAATCATTCAGAGGCAAATGTCTGAACCATTCAAACATCTTCTCACGAAACAAACAGTCTGAACCATTAAGTACTGAACCATTCAAACATCTGAACCATTAAAAAGCTGAAACAAACCGCTCCTATATGTAACATTGGGGTGGTTACTAAACGAGAAATTAAAACTCATGTCAAAGGTGATAAAAGAGCCGTTTGCACTAATAAATGCCAGCTGGGCGCGGTTTCGTTTCCACCCACACACACGCGCTTACCACTCTGAGTACAGAGGTATTTATCACCTCCATTCATCCCCTGCATACTACTTCCCCTTTCTCATAATAAACTTTTTTATTTTTTGGTAATTTAATAATTCTTCAAAGAATTCGTAAATCCGTCAGTTAGCGATTTCTTCTGATTCTGCTGCAAGGTTCGTCGACAATGTCTGAAGATCGAGTATATCCTCTCGATTCTCCGCCGTCATCTGAAACCTCCGGCAGATTCGACCAGCCGCCGCCGCTTCCAGCAAAGCCCACTCCGCCGCCCGGGACGTACATCATCCAGGTCCCCAAGGAGCAAGTATTCCGCCACCCGCCGCCGGAGAATGCCCGACATTCGAACTCCCCCAGGCGCCGCCGCCGCCGCCGATGCGTCCGCCTTCGCGTTGCACTCTGCCTCCTCGCGGCCCTTCTCGCCGCCCTCGCCCTCGCCGCCGGCGTTCTCTACCTCGTCTTCCGCCCCGAATCGCCGAGCTACGCCGTGTCCGCCGTGGCAATCAAGGGGCTGAACCTGACGTCGGCGTCCACGGTGTCGCCGGAGTTTGACGTCACCATCCGGGCTGAAAACCGTAACGACAAGATGGGGATCTATTACCGGCGAGGAAGCTCCGCGACGGTTTCCCACTCCGGCGTGGACATCGGTAACGGGGAATTGCCGGTGCTTTTCCAGCCGTCAAGAAACGTGACGGACTTCCGCGTGGAGCTGAAGGGAAGCGGGATAATGCTCGGGAGCGCCGTTAGATCGTCACTCATACGTCAGCAGAGGCAAGGGCAGGCGAGATTTAAGGTGAATGTGAGAGCTCCCGTCAAGATAAAAATCGGGGCCGTGAAAACGTGGGTAATCACCGTTAAAGTTCACTGTGACGTCACAGTGAATGCTTTGAACGAGAAACCCAAACTGCTGTCAAAGGACTGTAATTCCAGTGTGAAACTCTTTTGGTAGAATTTTGGTTTTCTTTTTGGAAAATGCTAAGGTGCCATGACATGAGTGCTACCATGGGTGTACCCATGCTTCGCACAAACAAACACAGACGATAACGATAATTGTTTGTGTCGCAGTGAAACCAAAAGTAAATTAATGACACTGTAGAGAAATTTAGTTACCGAAATTTAGTAGAGAAATTTAGTTTTCTTTTACTACACTTTACAGCATAAAAAGTAAATTAATTTTTTAATGACACCGCAATTACCAAAAGTAAATTAGTGAAACCAAAAGATAATTCTCTACTAAATTTCTTTTAGTAGAGAAATTTAGTTCTTCTTTTACTACACTTTACAGCATAAAAAGTAAATTAATTTTTTATTTTTTGTTGCCAGATAGAACCGTACACATACTTTAGCACAGAAGAAAATGACACTGTATACTCGGGGTCAAATTTTTTCCTATTAAGTTAAATGTTGAACAAAAATTTTAGAGAAAAAGTATTATAAAATGTTCATATACAATGTCACATTATTATCGTGCAAACTCTTACTTTGAGATAAAAATATAAAATTTTTATTTTAGTACTTTTTTTTTATATTTTACTCTTATTTAAGGCAATATCTTTATATGTTGGAATTGCCTCTATCGTACACGAATATAATCATTTATAAGTAACAATATACTCATTTTATATATATTTTCAAATTTTAATCATATATTTATCAAATACTCATCTACGTATAACACATGAGTGATTTATTTGTATATCTAACGAATACTGATTTGGTGCATATTAATGTTCATCTTCTTTCTTTCATCTCGACCCACAGATGTTGAATTCTTCGTGCACATACGTAGAGTAGAACAAAAGTCGATTTGTATATTACTTCACGACCGAATTACATAAGCAATCCATATTTTTCTCTTGATAAAACAACATTTAGGCATAACACAACAAGTTTATTTTACAAAAGCCATGCCTAAAATTTCAAAATGTCTTAGAGGGTGTTTGTTTTTCTGCCAGAAGACCTTCTAGCGTCTTTTGTCTGTGCCGCGCAGATGATGGACTCTGTAGATTGTTTGTTTTTGGAAGACATTTCACTCAAAAAGGTCTTCCTGGCATCTTCTTGGAGAAGACATTAACCAATGTCTTCTAACATCTTCTAACATCTTCTCCTTTTTTCGACTTCTCTTCACCACCACAACCGTCCACCACTACCACCGTCCACCATCACAGTCACCGTCCATCACCATCGTCGTCCACCGCCCACCGCCACCATCCACCGCCACCACCACCACCGCCGTCAACATCCACCACCACCCTCCACCACCACCACAATCGTGCATACACCACCACCGTACACTACCACCATTAATTTATATAGCAGTCTACAGACATTAAAAAAACAAACAGTCTTCTTCTTGCAGACCGCAGACCTTCGGTCCACCACTTCTCTGCAGATGTCTACAGTAGTGGTCCGCAGACCGCAGACCTTTTCCTGCAGAAAAACAAACACCCCCTTAGTTCATACTTCATACCAGGTTGCGTGGGGCATGCATCTCTATGCCCCGGCCCCGGATCCCACCAGTGCCCCTATGGCTTTTTAAGCTTTTCATCTTTCAACACTGAGAGAAAACCACCATTGGATAGTGGAGTAAAGAAAGGACTACTCACACTTCTCTCTTCACATTGGATTTTATGGACCCAAATCTTAATAAACAATTTCTCTATTTACTCTTCATCTCTTACATAAAAAACTACTAAAATACTATTCATTACGTGACTTGAATGATTTTTTTATTATCAAATATTTATAATATATACAATTATCTTAATTTACAAATTGATGAAAAATAAAAAATGCACTACATTTTTTAAAGGTTTCGACAAAAAAATTAAACAATTTTATCTTAATTTTTTACAAATACCTTTCAATAAACCGACTTTGTAAAAATGTGTGGTTAAAATTTATTTGGAAGGACTTCTAAAAAACTTATTTGGAAGAGATATATAATTAAAGATGTCAACATATTTGTTCCAAAAAAAATTAAGAATAGAATTATTTTGTAGACATTCAAAAAAGTTCAACCCAATTCATTCAAAGACATAGCACATAGGGAGTACCAAAATAGAAAACTGAAACTCTTAAACAATAGAAAAAGTAATTTATAACCATTATGAAAAATTAATTAAAGCGCTTGTTAAGTATACAACTTGGAGCTGGAGCGAATCCAATATTAGAAGTTTTAAAAAAAATGGAGCTGGAGCAAATCCAGCCACATGGCATGAAACCATTGGTCTTTCCTTTTTATTATTTCTTCTCCGACTCTTTTGCACCAACACCCCGTGGTTTGGTAAATGTACACCGTTACCCCCCATAGTTTCGAAACATATGTCGTTGCCACTCATGGTTCTGATATTGCTACGTCAATACCCCCTAGACAAAAACATGATTCAAATATTAGGTGAAGATGTGCATTGATGTAGCAATATAAGAACCATGAGAGACAACGACGTAAGTTTTAAACCATAGGAGGTAACTGTGCACATTTACCAAAAATGGTGGAATAAATTCTTTCTTCTCCACGGAGAGGAGCTCTTCCCCTGTCTTGGAATCTGCGGATAGGAACTTGTCCTTCTCCTCCTCCATGTAATGCAGCTTCTACTTCCGGACAACTCCTTCGTCTATTTATCCGGCTGCGGGTGCTCCAAAGACCTCTAGACTCTAGAGTCACCGGAGCTTACATGTCTCATGGACCATGTACACCCTTTATTTGTGTTGAAGAGGATCCTGAGAACAGTGGCGGATCCAAGATTTTATTCCACCGGGGGCACAGTTGGTCAGCACAAACATAATAAGCATAAATTTAAATTTAGAAAATATGTACTCCCTCCGTCAATGTATGATCTTCCCATTACGCGTTACGAGGCTTGACCGACTTTATTTTCAATTCAATTTAATTGATTATAGAACTAAAATTTTAAAACAAAATTTATATAGTAATAAACTACATGAAAAGTTCTACAAAACTAGAGGTGACAAGACTATATTATTTTATGAAATGACTAGTAAAATTGAGCAAACAAAGTGAGTAAAGTTTGACCCTGTGAATAGTGTCTGGGAAGATTTATGGTAGACAGGAGTAAATAAGATGAAATAAAATTACATTTTATAATTGTTCTCTACGAATTTTCATTTTTTGAAAGCGATCAACTACATCTTCATTCGTAATATGAAAAAAGATATCTTTTTCCACAGCACAAACTACACAAACATTAAGAAACTCGTCTCCGATTCGGTTGCGCAAATCAGTCTTCACATGCTTCATTGTTGAAAAACATCTCTCAACTGTAGCTGTTGCAACTGGCAAAACCAATGCTAACTTCAACAAACGATAAACCAGAGGAAATGTAAAATTTTTCTTTGTACTCACCATCAATTTAGCAAGGTCGGATAAACCAGTCAAACTACCAAACCTTTCATCCTCTTGTAAATTATCAATGTAAAGATCAAGTTCATGCTCAAGACTCACTTTCCACATTGCTAAAATCATTTGGATACATCTTAGCAAATCTCAATATCTTTGATTTGTCAAAATCAGAAAAGGAGTCACGCGGGCTCAAGGCTGCCATAGAAACAAGCATTTCAGAGCTCACCTCATCAAAACGATTATCAAACTTGTTATTTAGCAAATCCAAAACTTGGTTGCAACAAAGTGCTTCATAATACTGTCGATTCGTGAAACCAGATTTCTGTCTTTGATTTTTTGGATTAATATAATCCTCTGTCATGTCCAACATTTCAATATCATACTTATCACAAAAAGAAGATATCTTCCCTAAAAGTGAATCAAACCCATCAGCCGTTCTAAACATCTTCAATTGTCGCTTTGTAGATTTCACTAAGGACATAGCATTCAAGATATCTTGGTCTTTTCTTTGAAGAGCTTCTGATAACAAATTTGTGACTCCTAAAACATCCAACATCAAATGTAAGTAGAGCACAAACTCAAAGGATTTAAAATATACCTGAGCTTGTCGTTTACTCAACCCATTAGAAGCTTCCTGTTTAACATATTCGAGCACTTCAAGGACCGAAGGAAATAAATCAACTAGACGCATTAGTGTTTTATAATGCGAACTCCAACGCGTATCCCCAGCTCTTTTAAGAGAAAGCTCTTGATTTATGCCACTTCCAGTGCCTATTTCACCATTGCCAATTGCTTCTTGCAATTTCTGTTTTTGACTCTCTCGTATCATATCTTTTCTTTTGCAAGATGCACAAACAACGTTCATGATAGTAGCTATCATGTCAAAAAAATTCCCAGCACCAATATGTTGTTTCACAATTGCTACAATAACTAACTGAAGTTGATGTGCAAAACAATGCACATAATATGCTGAATCATTTTCCCTCAAGATTAAAGCTTTCAACCCATTGAACTCACCAGACATATTGCTTGCACCATCATAACCTTGTCCCCTAATCTGTTTCAAACTCAACTTATATCCAGCCAATAAAGAGTCAATCGCAGATTTAAGTGATGATGCAGATGTATTCGTTACATGCATAAGACCAACAAACCTTTCTTTGACAAGTCCACATTGATCAACAAATCGTAAAACCACAGCCATTTGTTCTTTTTTTGAAATATCACCCGACTCATCAACTAACAGTGCAAAGACATCATCACCAATTTCATCAAGAATAAATTTTAGTACTTCTTCAGCAAAACAAGTACAAATATCTTTTTGAATGCTTGGAGCCACCATTTGATTATTTCCAGGAGCATTTGTCAATGTAACATTACGAACAGACTCATTTTGATCTCGAATCATTTTGATTCCCACTCAGTAGAGACACGTTTCGATACCTTAGTTTAGTCTTTCAAGAAGATGGAGAGATATATGAGATATTGTTCATCGTATCGATACTGCTTAGGCAACGTGTTAGCTAGCTTCATGTATACATTGCGACGAAAAGAAATCAACTTAACATGAATGTGAACCGGCTTAGTCTTTCACGTTTGTCAACTTCAAGTGACAGAGATGGGGATGATGAGGTAGATGTGTGGGTAGACGAGGTTAGATTGAATCCAAAAAGAGGTTATTCAAGGACGAGTTAAAGTGGCACATGTATATGGAGGATATGCTACACAAAGCGAGACTGAGGTGGTTTGGAAGCACGAAACAGAAAAATGCAAAGGCCCCAATGCAGAAATGTGAGAAGCTCACGATAGTGCGCACGAGAAGGGGGTAAAGGTAAACCTAAGAAAAGTTAGAAAGAATTGATCAAACAAGACTTAAGACTTCAAGATCATACCGAAGATATGACTATGCATGTATAAACACGTCTTGAGATCTAGAATTAGAAAAATTGGATGGACTTCAACCTTAGTGATAGTTTTAGCAGGCGTGTTTTTACTCTTATCTTTGCATGGCTTTCTAAGTTTTGCATTTAGTTGTTAGTGTCGCTTTGTGTGTTTTATGTCTCTATGTGCTTACTAAGCCATTAGTTTGCTTTTTTGCTCTTACTTTGTTCATGCTTTTGGGTCTACTTTCCTGGTTTACTTTGTGGTTGAGATGTTGGCCTCTTATAAACAACCTCTCTATTTCCCAATGGGAATGGAGTCTACATTCACACCCACACTTTAAACCTTATTTTTGAGGGATTTGACTGGATTTGTTGTTGTAAGTATCTTCCAAACGACCACAAAATCATATAGGTCTTCATATTTATTGATCATTGACCATATATATTTATGAATTGATTCTCTTGATTATGAGTTCATCAAAGCAACCGAAGTACATGGCCTAATCAATGTATCATGGGTAACTGACTCATCTGAATTTCTTTCTTACTATTTCAGCTAGGTATTGTTTTGCCAAAGCAGTGTGGTTGGAGGGGAAGGAAAATGGTTCCCTCTCCTCATTTTGGTTAAGGTCCAAATCAAGGTAAGGGAATCATTTCCCCTCCCATCCACTAATTTAACCAAACACACCCTTAAGATATTACCAAGACGAAGGAGATGGAACAATCAGTTGGTTCCCAGGGCTGCTGCAAGAGGAAGAGATTGAACTCCAGCTAGAGGGTTCACTTGGTATGAGAATGCAAGTTCCAAGAGATCAGTCAAAGCCTTCTTCACATACCAAGCATGTTTCCTAAAAGTACTGTAACGAACCACAAAGTAGAAAATAAAATTAACAGAAGAAACCAATCTATAAAAACAGACATTAGACGGTTAGATAATACACGTGTCCGGAAAGAGTAGCAGCATTTCTTACCTCTTCAGGTCCGGCTTCCTCCTCATCATATAAAAAAAGATAAGAGGTAGACAGCATAGAAAAATATTTCCATTTGAGATAACAAATTGAGCATTCCCAAACTTCAAAGTTATGGTCCGGAACAACCAAAAGGGTGCTCTATTTTTGTACATTTTCATAATTGTCTCTTTTGTATTATTCTCCAGATCGTTTGCAGAACTGGGATTTTCTTCCTTCATGGAATCTGACTGATTCGGATATTCATGTATTTGCAATAATAGTGAAGCAGTGGGCTGGGATGAACTATCGAGGTCTGAAGTGTTCATGGAGTGTAATAGCCTCAGCAGAATCTGGAGAATAGCCATATGAAGGAATAGTTAGTAAACGAGGGGAAACATTTATTAAAAATACCGACGGTAAAATAATAATAAGAATAATCATAAACTAAGTGGTGGGAAGAGTACAGAATGTGCAATTTATGAAAGGAAAGGAACAAAATGTACCACTCAACTATATGCCATGAAAAAAAAATACCCTTACACTATGTTTGGTTCAAGGAATTTGAAAGGGAAAAGAAAAGAAAATGAAGTGAAAAGTAGTTTTTCTTGTTTGGTTAGAGAGGAAAAAAAAGGAAAAGTGGAAGAAAAAAAATGAGAAGGAAAAATGTAGTAAGTGGAGGGAAAACCAAATTCCTCCCATTTTGGTGTTGAAAATGAGAGAAAATCATTTTCTTTTCTTTCCAAATTCCTTGAACCAAACATAGTGTTAAGCTATTTTTCCTCAACAGTGTGTAAAAACCAACCACCAAACTCTAACCCCCCTCCCCACTAAAAAAAAAATCTTAGGTCTGGTTTTCCATGAAAAAGTTCAAAAAAATATATAGCACATTGACAGAATGATTGTCATTTTATATAGGAGAAAGTTATATCTAAAGAAATCACCACATCATTTATCAGATGTAATAATCAAAATGCAGATATCTTCACAAAAAATTTGCAAAATCTCATACACTCGGCTTCTTCTACTTCTTTGAAAATTGCCTTTAATAATCCAAACTTTGGGCATCAGTCAATAATAATCCAAATTTCAACCAGTTCAAGAAATAATACGAGCTTTAACACCTTCATCCATCTATGCACCACGAACTAATACCACTAGTTCTTTGTTAATAACAATCTGATGGCTATAAACCACCGAGAGTATGAAATAATAGAAGTTTTAGAGAGAGAGAGAATGCAAAGTAGGAGTATATTGATTTCAAACTGGGGATCCATTACAATGAGGGGTGCCACCCCTTTTATAGGAGGTACAATTCACTAAGTCAAAGCCCTCTAATCGAGGCTCGTCGTTTAGCGGACGTAACCTGTCCTTAGGTCTTGTCCCTTTCATCCTATCGCTTTCACCAAGTCTTTGTTGAACGTCTCTTTCCGCACGTCGTTGTCGCGGGGTTCGGGCTCGGCTTGGCTGGCCGAGCCGAGCAGGAGGGACGAGCGGAGCGCAGAGCCGGGCAGCAGGACGAGTGGAGCTCTGAGCCGAGCAGGAGGGACGAGCGGAGCG